CAGACAGTTGGGGCCTAGGGCTCTGGTCGTGGTGTCTTTCTGTGCCGATGTTTCCCCCCCCCCCCCCCCTCCCCCCCGAGCCGTCGGATCTCAGGGTACAGTCAACCCGCATGGTCAGGGTGGGTCACTTTCCCAAGGGTACCCTTGCATCCTTGCCTCCTCGGTCCATCCTCGACCGCCTTCGTTGGCCGCGCCCCGCTCGGGAAGCCTCGAAGAATCCGCGTCCAGGGCCCCCGCATCCTGCTCGCGCATCCTCGTGATACGGGCGGACTGCATGTCGATGTTTTCCCCGAGCCGTCGGCTCTTAGGGTACCCCCCATCGCAGGCGTAGGGGTTGACACCAACACCAATATCGGTGGTGCGCCTCCTCCGAGGGAAGAAGACCCCGACCTCGGTGGTGGTGGTACCATTCTGGCTTCCAGGGTGACCGAAACATTGCCACCAGCACCGAAATCGAGGATCAGCTTCCCCCTGTGGGGGCAAACCCCTGTGCTGGTGTTGGTGCCAATTTCCAGGCCTCCAACATTTTGCTCAAGGAGTTGTGTCGGCTGGGCCCGCCCCGTGTACTGTGATCGGAGGAGGAGGAGGAGGAGGAGGAGGAGGAGGAGGAGGAGGAGGAGGAGGAGGAGGAGGAGGAGGAGGAGGAGGAGGAGGAGGAGTTGGTGTTGGTGCCCATTTCCAGGCCTCCAGCCCCAGAGCCGCGCACGGCTTAAAGAGCAGCTCGTGGCGGCAGCGTCTCTTCCGGGGGCCGCGTGCGCGGCCTCCGGGGCCCTCGCCGGGGCCCGCGGCCGCCCACGAGGAGCGCTTCGGGAGGAGGGGGCGGGCCCGGCCGGCCGCGCGCCGAGGGGGGGCCGGGAGGGGGAGGGCAGGCGGAGGGGGGAAGGCGCCTCGAAGGACTCGAGACGGAGGCTTTCGCGGGGTTTGTGTCAAGTCGGGCCTGTCCCTCTGCAGGAGGTTTTTTTCCAAATAGTCGTACGTGTATATATATAGAATAAGCTATGTTTGAGCATGTCCGGAGTATTTATTTGATTTCATTATTCTTCGTCCGAAATCCGCCTGTAGGGGACATGCCCGACCTGAGGTTGGCGGCCTCTCGCGGCCCTTGCAGGGCCTCGGGACCGTCGAGAAGCGATTCGGGATGAGAACGCGGCCCCAGGGAATGGGTCGAGACCTCTGGGGGTCGACGTGATGAAACAAATCAGGACGTCGGGGGAGGGAGGGAAGGCTTCTTAAAAGCACCCCTGCTTCCTGGCGGGCGCGGGCCTCACCCATAGATGCTAGGCCGGCGCCTTCTGAGAGGCAGCCTCCCGCCAAGAAGCCTTCCCCCCTCCCTCCCTCCCCCTTTGTGCGCGTCGCCAGCCTGGGGAACGGGTCGCGACTTCCAGGGCCCCCCTGCGCGGAAGACGCCCAGTCGCCCTGCCGTGCCGCTCCAGGGCGACGCACCTCGCCCTTTGAGTGCTCTGCGCTCCCCCCTCCCCTCTGTCCCTCGCCGCCGCCCGCGTGTGCCCTTCCCCCCCCCGCCTCCTTGCCGCCAGGCAGGTAGCGCTCGCCTTCTCCCGGCCGCTCGAGCGCGCGTGCGGACTGCCACTGCCGCGCTGCGACGTGAAGAGCCTGGGCCTCGAATCAAGACGCAGGTTTCTCTTGTCGTCGTCGGCCCCGCGGAACCGTCAAAGAAGGACGATGTGGGGCGAAACGTTGGACCACGGGAAGGGGGGGTACAGATCGGGTGTTGCTAGAAACGCCCCGGGCCCAAGAGCTGCCCCCAGGATGTCCAAGGAGGCCCCCACGGCCTCCAGTTCGACCCTCACGAGGCCCAGAGGGCCCCAGGGGCCCCCAAATTGAAGGAAAAGCCGGCGGCACCCTGGGCCGTGGGCACCTTCAGCAACCCCCGACCAGAGCTTCGTGGGGGACCCCGCCACAGCGCGCCAGCGACGCCCGCGGGGGCCCCGCCAGCCTCCCGCGCCCGGGCACAGGTGGAGCACCTCGTGGCCGCGCACGAGCAGGCGGTGCAGCACGTGTGCAGGACTCGAGGAAGGGAGAGCGGCACAGACGTACCCGTCGGTCGTTGAGAGCAGGTTTTTTTTTTGGGGGGGGGGACGCCCAGATCCCATCCCCCCCCTCCTCCTCCTCCTCCTCCTCCTCCTCCTCGTTCTCCCCCTCCTCCTCCTCCTTTTCCTCCTCTTCGTCCTCCTCGAGGGCGCAATCCTCACCACCCGCGTGCTCCAAGCCGAGAACACGCTGAACCCAGCATCCGTGGCGTCGGCCCGGGTGCATGCGGAAAAGGTGGAGGGGAAGGGCTGGCAACACGGGATGGGGCAACCGTCCCGCACGGTGAGGATGGCGGTATTGGAAGCCATGTGCGGGTGGCCGCAGCTCCAGCAAGATCAGACCGTGAAAGAGGAGTTGGCCGTGCTCCAGGCGTTCACCCAGAGGGTGGCTCGAGAGCCGATGCCGGTGGCGAGCGAATCTATCCGTTACTGGAGAGCCAAGAGTACGTACCAGAAGGAGGGTCAGGCTCCGCGGGTGCGTCACACGTCTTCGTGAACAGCTATTGCACGGCAGGCGGGTTTTGCATCCCCATGAATATCGTCATCACCAAGCTTTCGGTGACTGTGGGCAGCGAGCCGAAAGCGGTAGCACCCCCCAGGGACACCCAAGAGCGCAAAGTGCAGAGCAGCCTTTAGAAGATGTTCAGCTGCCGCAAGCACCGCAGGGGTATATGTGAGACCTACTACGATCAGGAGGGGAAAAAACACATAGACACAATTAATCGCCCACTCCTAGGAAAATATGGGAAAATATGGGAAGTGGGGGGGGGAAGACAAAAACCCAGAACATATGAGAAAATATGGGGAATCCTTTTATTTGTGTGTATTTATTTGTGTGCCCTGGGGCCCCTTCATACGAGCATCACAAAGCGCGATAGAGTACGATAGACGGGCGTCTGCAAACTCCTGCGCAGTAGCAGTGCGCGCGCGTGGTCGACGAGGCCGCCGCAGGAGGAGGGGGACGCGCGGCCGATGATGCCCAGGCAGATTCCGCCGGTGCTGAGGAGAGCGTTTCCGCCACTGCTTAGGAGCACGTCTCCGCCAGAGCTTGGGAGAACGCGCTTGCCATGCCATACTTCAGGTTACACGCATTGACATCCATGTATGTTTTGTCCGTGTGTTGTGTGTGGAAGTTTTGGCACCACTCTTCTTTGCCCCTTCCTTCCTTTCAGGTACTGCTTCTGGCGCTCTGCTTCTTCCTCCGCCTTTGTGCCGAGTCGTCCGTGACTGCTGGTGCGCATTCCAAACTGCGTTTTTGATTATGGCAGGACAGCGGCTTCCCGACCCGTTGCGTACCCAGTGGAGAGTCCCCGTGGCTGGGCTTTGAGCTTGCTGAGGAGGGGGGGCTCCGCTCCTTCTTAACAGCGCGCCAGGGCTACGGCAGGTCCTGTGCGCACGGCGGTCGTCCGTTGCTTCGAGGAGCTTTCAGAGACCATGTGCTGTTCCGCCGCCGTCGCCGCCGCCGCCTCCTCTTCCTCCTCGTCCTCCTCGTCCTCCTCCTCTTCTTCCTCCTCGTCCTCCTCCCCCTCCCCCTCCTCCTTCTCCTTCTCCTCCTCCTCCTCCTCCCCTTCCTCCTCGTCCTCCTCCTTCTCCTCGTCCTCCGCCTCCCCCCCCTCCTCCTCCTCCTCCTCCTCCTCCTCCTCCTCCTCCTCCTCCTCCTCCTCCTCCTCCTCCTCCTCGCCCTCCTCCTCGCCCTCCTCCTCGCCCTCGGTGGGGGTGCCCAGGGGGCCTGGGCCCTCCCGCGCCCGGGAGGCGGAGCAGGAAACGGCGTGAGTGCGCCCGCCGGTTTCGAACATTTTTTTGTTGGAAGCCCAGATCCCCATCTAGTCTAGCCGTCGCCCTACACCAATGATGTCGAGCGGTCTCCCCTCGCCCCTCCTCTTCAATGGGCGGGCGGAATCCCCGCCCACTGAGGCGGCGCAGACATAGCCCTGAAATCTGGGCGCTGTCATGTTCCCAGAGATCCGACGCTCCAAACAAAACTTGGAGCGGGGTGGGTTGGGCTGCTTTCGGTTTCCGGGGGTCCTCGCCGGGCCTCGGGGCCTTCCAAAAGCGACCTGGGGCGAGAAACCAGCCTTAGAGGGAAGTGGTCCAGACCTCCGGGGCCCGCGCATCGAAAAAATTGGACCAGCCGGATGTCTGGAATCTCGCACCCGTTTTTTTTAGTCCGTTTCGGGCTCCGATCCATTTCGACAAATGCCTCGGCGGGTTGGGGTTGAAGGCTTTGGACCAGACTTCCAACGTGCACAGGACTCGAGCAACGGTCTTGTTCCCAAGATTCGTTTGGCTCCTGAATGGGAATTGTTGCTGGTTTTCTTTTTCCTCCTTTTCCAAGCTCTACGCCCCCTCCTCCTCCCCATGCCCTGACCAGCCGGCGCAGAGTTTCACCTATTTGTAATTTCGGTCGTTCGAGTCTGATTGTTTGTTCACGCGTTGGACGGCGCGTGGCATGTGACGGAGTGGCACGCGCGCCGACAATCGGCCTGGATGACAAGGTTGGCGTAGCGACAAGATTGAAACTTTACCGACAATCACGACAGGAGCCTTGGACCAAATTTTTCAAGTAAGGGATCGAAGACATAACAACATGCTTGATTTACCCCACAATTTTTCGCTCGAATGTGAGGATAATAGCTAGAAGGCCCAGTCGATCTAATCAGTATCCTGATTTGGTTCGTGGGTTATACGGCAAAATCAAGTCTGGGGCAATTCAAGTGTGTAGTCGACTTCCTACTCGAATCTTTCTTCGGTACTTCTCGAGCTGGATCGAGCTGTGATGGTCCTGGGGGCCGAACGTTTAACGAACCCGCCCGCTGTGAAGACATCGCAGCGCCAGGATCTCAACGTGATGGTCCCGGGACCCTTGGATTTTTTTGGGCGGCCCGGGGGCCCGGCGAGGCCCCCCCGAGGCCAAACACGACAAGCACAGCGCCGTCTTTTTTTGTCGCTACGTTGGAGGCGCCGTTTTCTCTTCTCTGAGGTCATCGTCGGCGTCGGCGTCGGCGCCGGCGTCAGCGTCGTCGTCGTCGTCGTCGTCGTCGTCGACGTCCTGGGGCCCCCGGAGGCCGTTGCAGGTGCTGTCTTTTCTGCTGCCGAGGATGCACGAGTCCGAGCTGGCCGGCCTGCGCTCGCAGGCGGCCCAGAGGCGGCGTGAACGGGCGCACCGGCTGGAGCAGGACTTCGAGGCGCAGAGGCGGCCCCTGGAGCAACCGCGCACGACGACGACGAGGACGACGACGACGAGGAGGAGGAGGAGGAGGAGGACGAGGACTACGTCGACGACCAGGACGACGACTACGACGACGAGGATGAGGACTACGAGGCCGACAACGACGACGAGGACGACGACGAGGAGGAGGACGATAACGAAGAGGACGACGACGAGGAGTACGACGACGAGGACCACGGCGAGGACGGCGACCAGGACGAGGACGACGAGGACGACGACGAGGGCGACGACGACGATGACTTCGAGGACGACGACCAGGACGACGACGACGATAGAGACGCCGACGACAAGGACGAGGATGAAGACGGGGACGACGACGGCGACGAGGCCGACGACGACGATGCCGACGACGACGAAGACGACGACTACGAGGACGACAACGACGACGAGGGCGACGACGAGGATGACGTCGACGAAGGGGACGACGACGAGAAGGACGACGACGAGGACCACGGCGAGGACGGCGACAAGGCCGAGGACGGCGGGGACGACGACGACCTCGAGGACGACGACGACCTCGAGGACGACGACGAGAACGACGACGACGATAGAGACGACGACAACAAGGACGAGGATGAAGCCGAGGCCGACGACGACGACGAGGACGGCGACGACGTTCATGACGAGGCCGACGACGAGGACGACGACCATGAGGACGATGACGACGACGATGACGAGGGCGACGACGAGGCCGACGACGACGAGGACAACGAGGACCAGGAGGACGACTCCGAGGACGACGAGGACGACAACGCCGACGAGGTCGACGACGAGGAGGAGGACGACGACGAGGACGAAGACGACGAAGACGATGGCGACGAGGATGATGACGTCGAGGAGGAGGAGGACGACGACGACGACAAGGGCGACGACGAGGACGGCGACGAGGACGAGGACGAGGACGTCGACGACGGCGAGGACGACTACGAGGACGACGACCAGGACGACGACGACCACGTGTACGACGACGAGGACGAGACGACGCCGAGGACGACGACGGGGACGACGACGACTACGAGGACCTCGACGACGACGCCGACGTGGGCGACGACGAGGACGAAGACGACGAAGACGATGGCGACGAGGATGATGACGTCGAGGAGGAGGAGGACGACGACGACGACAAGGGCGACGACGAGGACGGCGACGAGGACGAGGACGAGGACGTTGACGACGGCGAGGACGACGACGAGGACGACGACCAGGATGACGACGACCACGTGTACGACGACGAGGACGAGACAACGCCGAGGACGACGACGGGGAGGGACGACGACGACTACGAGGACCTCGACGACGACGCCGACGTGGGCGACGACGAGGACCATGACGGCGACAACGACGAGGATGACGACGACAGCGAGGACGACGACGAGGACGACGACAAGGACGACCCCGACGAAGACAAGAACGATGACGACGACGACGAGGATTGCGACGACGACGACGACGACGCGAGGACGACGACGACGACGACGTCGCGGACCACGACTTGGACGACTACGCCGATGACCACGACGACGACGACGACTACAACGAGGGCGGCGATGACGACGACGACGACGACGACTACGACGTTGACAACGACGATGACGACGACGACGACGACGGGGACGACGACGCCGAGGATGACGACGACGAGGTCGCGGACGACGACGACCACCAGGACGCCACGAGGACGACGACGACGACCAGGAGGACGACGCCGACGCCGACGAGGACGATGACGACGAGGACGGCGACGAGGATTACGACGCCGTGGACGGATGACGACGGCGACGACGAGAACGACGACGACGAGGACGACGGCGAGGGCGACGACGACGACGAGGATAACGACGAAGGCAACGAGGACCGAGACGAGGACGCCGGCGAGGACGACGACGACGAGGACGACAACCTAGGACGTCGACGAGGACGACGACAAGAACCATGCGAGGACGACGAGGACGACGACGAGAACGACGACGCCGAGGACGACGATGACGACGAGAACAACCACAACGACGAGGATCACGGCGGCGACGAGGAGGAAGACGACGACTATGAGGACGAGGACGCCGACAAGGACGACGAGGAGGACCAGGATGACGACCAGGAGGAGTATGAGGAGAACGGCGACGACGACGAGGACGACGACGATGAAGACGACGACGACGAGAGCGCGGAGGACGACTAGGAAGACGACGATGACGATGAAGACGAGGACGACAAGGAGGAGGACGACGTCGACGACGACGACGGCCATGACGAGGGCGGCGACGATGACATTGAGGACGGACGACGATGACACCGTCGACGACGACGACGATGAAGACGAAGACGACTACGACCAGGACGACGACGACGAGATCGACGCCGACGAGGACGGCCACGACAAGGGTGCCGACGACGATTACGATGGCGACGAGGACAACGACGAGGACGACGACGACGAGGACGAAGACGACGAGGGCCACAAGGACGACGACGACGACCATATCAACCACTAAGACGTCCACGAGGAGGACGGTGACGACTGCGAGGGTGACGACGACAGCGACGTCGATGATGACGACGACGATGACGACAGGGACGAGGACGACGAGGACGACGACGACGCGGACGACGACGAGCAGGACGACGACGACGAGCAGGGCGACGGCGACGACGACGAGGACGACGAGCTCAACATCAACGACGAGGATCACGATGACGACGACGAGCAGGGCGAGGTCGACGTTGCGACGACGACGACGAAGAAGACGACGACGACGAGGACGGCGACGGCGTCGAGGACGGCGACGACAGGGACGACGCCAACGACGAGGATGACGACGACGACGACGCCGAGGACGACGAGGACGACACCGTCGATGACGACGATGACGATGACAACGGCGACGACTTCGACGACGACGACGGTAAGGGCGGCGACCAGGACGACGACGACACCGACGAGGACAGGGACGATGCCGACACGACGAGGGCGGGGCCGACGACGACGACGAGGGCAAGAGCGAGGACGACGGCGACAACGACGAGGACGAGGAGGAGGGCGACGACAAGGGCGACGACGAGGGCAAGGGCGAGGACGACGGCGACAACGACGAGGATGAGGAGGAGGGCGACGACGAGGACGACGACGAGGACGAAGAGGACGACTTCGAGGATGTGGACGACGACGAGGAAGAGGAGGACTAGGACGACAACGACGACAGCGACGACGAGGACGACGACAACGACGGAAACGACGACGATGACGACCAGGACGACGACGACGACGACGAGGATGAAGACGACGACAACAACGACGGCGACGAGGACGACCAAGGCGAGGACGACGACGACGAGGACGATGACACCGACGACGACGGGGACGTCGACGAGGACGATGACGACGATGACGACGAGGATGACGGCGAGGACGAGGACGAGGACGAGGAGGACGACGAAGACGACTAGCACGACGACGACGATGAGGACGAAGACGCCGACAAGGACGACGACGACGAGGACCAAGAGGACGACCAGGAGGAGGATGAGGAGGACGGCGACGACGACGAGGACGACGACGACGATGAATACGACGACGACAACGACGATAAGGCGGAGGACGACTAGGAAGGCGAGGATGACGACGGCGAAGACGATGACGACAAGGAGGATGCAGACGACGTCGACGACGACGACGACGGCTAGGACGAGGGCGGCGACGATGACGACGACCGCGACGACGACCAAGGCGAGGAGGAGGACGACGACGACGATAACGACGACGACAAGGACTACGACGACGACGACTGCGACGAGGATGACGACGAGGAGGACGACGACGAGGACGAGGACGGCGACGACGACGAGGACGACGAAGACCACGAGGACGACGATGAGGACCAGGACGACGACAAGGAGAAGGAGAACGAGAACGACGACGAGGACGACGACGAGGTCGACCACGAGGACGACGACGACGACCAGCAAGCGGAGTACGACGACTAGGACGACCATGAGGACAAGGAGGAGGAGAACGACGTCGACGATGACTATGACGGCGAGGAAGAGGGCGACGACGATGATGACGACGATGACGAAGGCGAGGACGACGACGACGACGACGACGACGAGGAGGACCATGACGACGACGACGGCGACGAGGACGACGACGACAATGAGGAGGACGGCGACGAGGACGAGGACGAGGACGAGGACGAGGACGAGGACGACAACGACGACGATGAGGCCGACACTGTCGACGACGACAATGACGACGACGACGAGGACGACGAGGTGGACCACGACGACAACGACGACTATGACGACGACAACGGCGACGACGACGACGAGGCGGACCCTGGAGCAGTCCACCGCGCACATGGGCTTCGAGCTGGAGCAGCAGCTTTGGGGAAAAGGCACCGCCATGAGGTCGGCGAGGCCGCCTGAGGTGTCTGCGAGGCTCGGGGTGCTCGCGCATGTCCGTGGCTCGGCGGCGAGCGAGGGCGGGAATTGAGAAGGAGAAGGCCTTCTCAGAAGGCGGCGGGGCTTCTCAGAAGCCCTCGCGCCTTCTGAGAAGTTTTTTCGTTCTTCGGGGAAGGCTTAGAAAACTTCTCAGAAGTCCGGGGGACTTCCGAGCCTTCTGAGAAGGTACGCCCTTTCTCACTTCCCCCCCTGGCTCGCCGCCTGGTGGCTTTCTCGGCGTTCTCCCCGCGTCGGGGTGCCCTCTGTGGCGTCTGCGCCCCGCCCGGCGCGTGCTGGGCTCTGCCCGGATCGTCCCGCTCGGTTGACCAGAGGCCCGAGAGCCATATGGTCTGCCGGGCGGGGCTACCGACACAGCTGCCCCTCCTGCGTCCTCGTCCGTTGGAGCCTCCTGGAAAGCCCTCGCCGCCACGGCTGGAGTTCGCCTGGGAGATGCCCTCGTCGCCACGCCTGGCCTCGCCAGGAACTGTGTGTCAGAGCGCACCGTGGGCCAGGTCTGGGGAGCCGCGGCCTAAGGATTTCCTAAGGATTCCCATGGAGCGTTCAGAATCATCATCTCATCATCATATCATCATCATCATCATCATCATCTACATCATCATCATCATCATCATCAGCATCCATCAGCATCATCACATCAGCATCAGCATCAGCATCACATCAGCATCACATCAGCATCAGCAGCATCAGCATCAGCATCAGCATCAGCATCAGCATCATCTGCATCAGCATCAGCATCAGCATCAGCATCAGCATCAGCATCAGCATCAGCATCAGCATCATCATCATCATCAGCAGCAGCAGCATCAGCATCAGCATCAGCATCAACATCATCATCATCATCATCATTATTATTATTATTTTCAGCAGCATCTAATCATCATCATCATCATCATCATCATCATCATCATCATCATCATCATCATCATCATCATCATCATCATCATCATCAGCACCATCATCAGCATCATCATCAGCAGCATCACCGTCATCGCCATCATCTTCATCACCCTGCTGAGATGTCTGGGTAAAGGTTCATCTTCCCCCTGGGACCCGAACTCTCTGACCCCATGGGGGTTCATACCAGGGGTCGGACCTCCGTCGCGGCGCGACGGCGAGGCGAGGTGGACCCCGCGTCGGGGGGGTACCCCCCGCGCTTCTCGAGAAGCCCCGAGCCCAGAGTGCCTTCAGGCCCCCCCAGGAGCAGGAGCGCAGGGACCGCGCCGACGCGGCGGACGCCTGCGCCGGCATCCGGCAACAGGTCTGCCGCAGTTCCTCGGCCTCCGGCGGGGCCCCTCGCCGCCGCGCCTGGACGCAGCTCGGGGGGGCAGCCGGCGCGCCGTGTACGGGACGTGAAAACGACCACAGCCACCGCTTTTCTTTTGTTGCCGCCTTCCAGCCAGCAGAAACAAAGCAGTGGTTGTGGTCATTTTCGTTACGCGTGGCACCAGGGAAATGACCACAACCGCTGCTTCTTGTTCGGCCGGCTGGAAGGCGGCGCAGACAAGATCCAGTGGCTGGTCATTTTCCCGTCCCGCGCTGCCACGAGCGGCGGACACGCGCTTCCCCAGACGCGATCGCGCCGTGGCAGAACTGTCAGGACGGGACCGGAAGGCTTCTGGCCACCTCTTCGGCCTCCCCAGACAGCGGGCGTCTCGACAAAAAATCGAGGCAAAGGTTTTTACTTTTTTTCGGCTTCTCGGGGCCCTCACTGGGCCTCGGGACCCTCACAGAACGACTCGGGATGAAAAGCCGGCCCTGGGGAAGCGGGCGGGAGGTCGGGGGCCCGGGTCTCGAAAAAAACGCGACGTTGGATGTCTGGGTCGGGGGGCCCTCGCCGGGCCCCGGGGTCGTCAACAACAGGACGAAAAGCTGGCCCCGGGGAACCCAGACATCCGACGCCTCGATCCTTCCGAGACACGGGCCCCCGACCTCCCGCCCGCTTCCCCACCACCGGTTTTTCATCCCGGCTCGTTCTTTGACGGTCCCGAGACCCGGCGAGGGCCCCGGGAGGCCGAAAACGACGAAGAGCTTCCGTCGCGATTTGTTATATATATATAGAGAGAGAGAGAGAGAGAGAGAGAGAGAGAGAGCCCGATGTCTGGGAACGGGCCTGGACTTCTAGGGACGCCGTCCTGGAAACATCAGGACGCCGCCTTCGCGAGACAGGGCTCCGCGCGGGGAGAACGAGGAGGAGTTGGAGGAGGAGGAGGAGGAGGAGGAGGAGGAGGAGGAGCAGGAGGAAAACGAGGAGGAGGAGGAGGAGGAGGAGGAGGAGGAGGAGGAGGAGGAGGAGGAGCAGGAGGAGGAGGAGGAGGAGGAGGCGGAGGAGGAGGAGGAGGAGGAGGAGGGGAGGGGAGGAGGGGGAGGGGGAGGAGGAGGAGGAGGAGGAGGAGGAGGAGGAGGAGGAGGAGGAGGAGGAGGAGGAGGAGGAAAATATGTCTGAGCCCGCATACCCACGCCCTCGCGGCCTGGGGAGCCCGGGGCGCGGCCTCCCGCGGGTGCGCGGCCGAGCGGCGGCGACCCGCGCGGGGGGCGCCCGCGCGCAGAACGCCCCGGAGCCTTAAGTCGGGCCTGTCCCTCCACAGTGGGTTTTTCGACGAGAAATAAAGAATACCCCCGAAATAGTCCAAAAATAATGCAAACATAGTCTGGGGACTATTTTTTAGTTTTTTTGACCCTTTTGGGGCATTTTCGGGGCATTTTTTATTTATTTCTCGTCGAAAATGCCCCTGTAGGGGGACAGGCCCGACATAACCGGAGCCTTACGTCGGGCCTGGCCCTCTGCAGGAGGAATACTTCGGGGTGGGTAGACCTACCCTGACGCGTCGATTAGCGAATTGGCCGTTTTCCGCGGCCTGGACAGCCCGGGGCGCGGTCTCCCGCGGGTGCGCGGCCGAGCGGCGGCGATCCGCGCGGGGGGCACCCGCGCACAGAGCGCCCCGTGGCCTGACGTCGGGCCTGGCCCTCGGCAGGAGGAATCTTTCGGGGTGGGTAGACTTCTGTCGGGCGTGTCCCCCTACAGGGAGATTTTCGACGAGAAGCAAAAAATACCTCCAAAATACCCCCCAGACTATTTTTGGATGATTTTTGGATTATTTTTGGGGCAAAAATAGTCCCCAGACTATTTTTGGATTATTTCTGGATTATTTTTGGGGTATTTTCCATTTTTCGTCGAAATCCCCCTGTAGGGGGACAGGCCCGACTTAAGGGTAGACCTACCCTGACACGTCGAGTAGCGAACTGGCCGCTTTCGGTTCGCGAGGGGGCGTTGCGGCCGTCATTTTTGCGGGTCCAGGTCCGTCGGTTTCGGTCCCAGGCCGTTTCCACTAAAGGGAGGCCGCCGAATATTCATTTTTTTCGAAAATAGTCACGGGATGATTTTTTGACTACTTTCTATGTTTCGTCCAAGATCCGCCTGTACGTGGACACGCCCCTCGACCTCACCGTGGCCGCGGGGTCGCGGATGATCAAGGGAGGAAGCAACAGCCGGACCCGATGATTGGCGTTTGCTAAACGGCTTTGGGCGTTCACTGAACCGCCCTGACCTGTTTGCTTCCGCCTGTGGGTGCGCCTGCTGAAGACGGCTCCGCGTCTCGCCTCTGCCCCGCTCGATTCTCCTTCTCTGTGGGTGCGCTCACCACAAAACGGCTTCGCGTGTCGGGGTGATTCTTATCGGTCTGGATGTCGCAGTCCTAGAGATTGACACCAACACCAAGATCGGCGGTGTGCTTCCACCGAGGGAAGGCGATCCCGATCTCGGTGATGGTGGTAATATTCTGGCTTCCAAGGTGACCGAAATATGACCACCAACACCGAAATCTAAGATCATCATCTCCCTGTGGAGGCAAACCCCTGTGCTGGTGTTGGTGCCAATTTCCAGGCCTCCAACATTTTGCTCAAGGAGTTGTGTCGGCTGGGCCCGCCCCGTGTACTGTGATCGGAGGAGGAGGAGGAGGAGGAGGAGGAGGAGGAGGAGGAGGAGGAGGAGGAGGAGGAGGAGGAGGAGGAGGAGGAGGAGGAGGAGGAGGAGGAGGAGGAGTGAGGAGGAGGAGGAGGAGGAGAGGAGGAGGAGGAGGAGGAGGAGGAGAGGAGGAGGAGGAGGAGGGGGGGGAGGAGGAGGGGGAGGAGGAGGAGGAGGGGAGGAGGAAAAGGAGGAGGAGGAGGTGCTGGTGTTGGTGCCAAATTTCCAGGCCTCCAGGGATGTCCCGCCCTCGAGGAATCAGGGGCCCGGCCCGCGGGGCCCCCGGCGGGGTGCGGAGGCCTCTGCTCGCGCACGGGCGTGGGCCCCCCGGGGAGGGCGTCCCCGGAGGAGCCCGGCCCCGAGAGCGCCCGCGGACGCGCGGGACTCGCCTCGGGTCGGGCGCGCTTCCCCCCTACATCGGGGGCGGAAAAGAGGGGGGGTGATGACTGGGGGGGGGGAGAAAAAGATACGGATACGTGTTGTCCCCCTTCGTTTTCGGCCTTTCCTGGTCCTCCTGGGGAATCCTCGTTGTCACCGCTGGATTCGCCTCGAAATTCTGGTCAGAACGCACCCCAAGAGAGGTCCGGGGACTACATCGGGGGCGGAAAAGAGGGGGGTGATGACTAGGGGGGGGGGGGGAGCGTAAGACCCGGGTTTGCCAGGGCTCGGGTTCGCCATCGTTTTTGACGACCGCGCCCCGGATTTTGACGAAGGGGAGTTTCGTGGGAGGTCTTCAGCGGGAGGCCTCGTCAGAATGCAGGCTCGGCCTCGTAATTTTTTTGACGACCCCGTCGGGGATTTCCGAGTCCCCTGTACCCAGGTCTTACGTCCCCCTGATAGGGGGGGTGGATTTCATGGCGCGGGCCATGATTTTTCTTCAGATCTCGTGGCGCCTCTTCTTGTTTCATGACGTCCCTGGCCCCCCCGCTGGGCCGCGCACATGCCGCCGGTCATGATTTGCACCCCCCCCTCTTGGACACCCCCCTCTTGGCCGCTCCCGACTACAGGCCGACTTTCGGCGAAAGACGAAAAATGCATCAACAACAATGCAACAATATTTGCGAATGCAACGATGTTTGGACTAAGTCCAAACATCCTCCCCCTTTTTTTAATTTATGTTTATTTGTTTATTTTTATATTTATAAAGAAGTATTCCTCCTGTAGGGGGGCGGACCCGACGTAAGGCTCGCCCCGTGCCGAGAGAAGTCAGGAGGGAAAGAGACACACAGGCACAATCGATCGTCGACTCCCAGGAAACTTGTGGGGAACATATGGGACGTGGGGGGGGGGGGAAGACGGAAACCCAGAAAAAACGTGGGGAACTATGGGGAATCCTGCTATTCGTTTCTGCTTATTTTGTGCGTCCCCCTGGGCCCCTTCAAGCAGGTCGAGGCGATGCGCGGGACGCTCGACGAGATGCTCCGGCGGGAGGGCCAGGCGGAGCGCGACGCGGCCCAGGCCCGCGAGGAGGCGGCGGCGAAGGAGGCGGAGGCGGCCGCGCTGCAGGGCGAGGCTCGGGGGAGGGAGAGGTGCCGCCCTCCAGTCGGGCATAGCATAACATCTGGGGAAAGATCTGGCGCCATAACATCTGGGGAAATGAGAAGAGGCGCCATAACATCTGGGGAAAGGTCATGGCCCCCGCCATGAGATCCCCCCTCGCAGCCATCACCCCCCGCTTTGCCGCCCCCGAAATTACTGACCGGCTCCCCTCAAACGGGGTCCTGGCTATACCCGACTAGAGTTATGTCGGGCGTGTCACCCTACAGGGGGATCTTCGACGAAAAATAAGCGATACACCAAATATAGTCCAAAAATAGTCCAAAGATAGTCTGGGGAATTTATTTTGAGTATTTTTTGGCCATTTTGGGGCATTTTCGGGGTATTTTTTTGGAAACTGTTCGCCGAAAATCCCCCTGTATGGGGGACACGCCCGACATAAGTATAGCCAGGACCCCGGTTAAGGGGAGCCGGTTAGTGATTTCGGGGGCGGCAAAGAGGGGGGTGATGACTAGGGGGGAGGGTGGATATCATGGCGGGGGCCATGATATTTCCCCAGATGTTGTGGCGCCTTTTCTCATTTCATTGCGTCCCTGGCCCCCCCCTTGGGCCGCGCACATGCCGCCAGCAGTGATTTGCACCCCCCCCCCTCGTGGACGCCCCCCTCTCGGCCGCTCCCGATGATTGGGCCCCGAAGCCCAGAATATGGACTGGAATCACTAAACCAGGTTTGCCGTGGCTGGTGTGTTTCGGGCGACGGCAGTCCCGGTCAGTGGAACGGGGCGGGGGGGGCATCCCCCAGTACACATCACTAAACCAGGTCCCACTAAACCCAGTTCTGCCAACGCCCGACCTAGGCCTCCTCGATGGGGTCGGAGTAGATGGGGTCGGAGGATCGCTCCGCATCGCCGATGCATCGGCGATGCGGGTCGATGTGGAGCCCGATTTGCTCCACGTCGGCATCGCCGATGCATCGCCGACGTCGACGATGCGTCGCCAGTGCATCCCCGATGCATCGCCGATACATCGCCGATGCATCGTCGATGTATCGGCGATGCGGCGCGATCCTTCGACCCCATCTACTCCGACCCCATCTAGGAGGCCTCTATACCCTTACGTCGGGCATGTCCCCAGACATCGGGCGTCTCGAATCATCGAGACGGAGGTTTTTCGTCGTTCTCGCTGAGCCTCGACCGTCAAAAAGCGGCTCGGGATGAGAAGCCGGTCCCAGGGAAGTGGTCCGGAAGTCGGGGCCCATGTCTCGAACAAAATCGAGACGTCGGATGTTTGGGACCCTTACGTCGGGCATGTCCCTCTGCAGGAGGAAGGTCCAGAAAGAGTTCCAAACATTGTCTGGGGACGACGTCTCCAGTATTTTCGACGGCTGTTGGATCTGTTTGGGTTGCTTTGATATCTCTTCCAAAAGCCGTCTGTGGGAGGACGTGCCCGACCCAAAACTGCCCCTCCCTCTCGTCTGCCCCTCCTTGGGCCTCCTCCTCCTCCTCCTCCTCCTCCCCTTCCTCCTCCTCCTCCTCCTCCTCCTCCGCCTCCTCCTCCTCCTCCTCCTCCTCGTCCTCCTCCTCCTCCTCCTCCTCCTCCTCCTCCTCCTCCTCCTCCTCCCGTCGGCGGCCGTCTTGGAGGGCGGCGGGGCTCCTCGGGGGCTCCCCCGCCCTCCGAGAGGCTCTCGCTGCGTCGTCGGGCCCGCGGCCCCCGGCCCCCGGCGCCGTGTTTTTTTTTCACGGCGCGCCCCCCGGAGGTCCGGGCCCATTCTTCGGGGCAGGGCTTTGCATCCTCCTTCCTCCTCCTCCTCCTCCTCCTCCTTCATCCTCCTCCTCCTTCATCCTCCTTCCTCCTCCTCCTTCCTCCTCCTCCTCCTCCTCCTCCTCCTCCTCCTCCTCCCTCCTCCTCCTCCTCCTCCTGAGGAGGAGTCGTCTGTTGGCTCATCCTGTAAGGCCCCCCCAGGGGCCGAGAACAGCGCAAAACCTCCCGTCGTGATCTCGTCATGAGGCGAGGGGGTCGATGGCGGGAAGGCTTCGACGCCTTCGCAGAAGGCCGGGGGACTTCCGAGCCTTCTGAGACTTGGCATCGCTCGGACGTGCGCATTTTTCCTTCGGCGAGGGCCATCGAGGAGCATCCTTGATCATTTGGCAAGAAATAAAAAGAAGCCACACACGAAACCGAAAAAAAACACAGGAGATGGACGTCCGAGCGATGGCCAGGAGAAGGCCTTCTCCTTCTCTCTTCCCCCCCCCGAGGCTCTCCGCCGATCGTGGGCTTCCCGGGTGGGGGCCCGTCGTCGCCACGGCCGGATCCACCTCCAAGCCCTATAGGCAGAGCTCTGGGCCTCCTCTAGATCTACCAGCCTCGAGCTTATCCCTATCCCTGAGATCGACACGCCCAAAGGCGATGACAATCTTAGGAATTCGCCCTCAAAAAATAAGGGAATCCCTAGGATTGGCATGACAATCTTAGGGATTCGCCCTAAGATTGACACGCCAAAAGGCGATGACAGTCTTAGGGATTCGCCCTCAAAAAAAAGGGAATCCCTAAGATTGGCATCGTGATGAGGAGATGCCCAGCATGGGGATAGGGATATGCTCCAGGCTGGAAATGGATGGGGTCGGAGCAGGTGGGGTCGGAGGATGCGGCTCGATGCGGAGCTCGATTGTCTCCACGCCGACGTCGCCGATGCGTCGCCGGCGTCGGCGGTGCATCGCCGATGCACCGCCGATGCATTGGCGGTGCGGCGCGATCCTCCGACCCCATCTGCTCCCACCCCATCTAGGAGGCCCCTGAGAGCTCGCCCCAGGAGGGGTCTGGGGAGCAGCAGCACCGTCGACGCGCCTGGTGAGGACGCGCGCCTGCATCTAGGGTGCCTTTGTGCCCTTGCGTCTGCTGCCCGACCTTTGCCGTTTTCACTGGTCGCCCGCCGCTAGAAGAATCCCAACTTCGGTCTCCAAGGGTCTTGCGTCCCTACCGCCCGTCCTTCACCCCGGCATCTGGCGGCCCCAATTTTTTCGATGCGTGGACCCCTGAGGTCTGGACCACTTCCCTAGGGCTGGTTCTTCGTCCTGAGTCGTTTTTGGACGGTCCCGAGGCCCAGGGAGGGCCGTTTTTTTAGGGTCCCGAGGCCAGGTAAGGGCCCCTGGAGGCCGAAAATAGCGAAAACCCTCCCGTCGAATTTTCTCATGACTCGAGGGGTTGGGTATATCCCCAGGCATCCGACGTCTCGATTTTTTCGAGACATGGGCCTCCGACCTCCCGACCGCTTCCCCAGGACCGGTCTCATCCCGACTCGTTTCTTGACGGTCCCGAGGCCTGGCGAGGGCCCCGGGAGGCCGAAAACGACGAAAAGCTTCCGTCTCGATTTTTCCGAGAGAGCTCGAATATATATATATATATATATATATATATATATATATATATTGCCCCCCCCCCCCCCTCCGATTTTTTTGGGTCGGTGCTTGGCGTCCCCGTTCGAAGGTGGCCGTGCTGCTGGCGCGCCAGCGGGCCGCCGGCCTGGGCGCGGCGCCGCCGCCCCCGGGCAGCAGCCTCCGGCCCGGCGCGGCGGCGGCGAACGCGGCGCAGGCCGCCGCCGCGGCGGTGCTGGCGGAGGCTCACGTCGGGCATGTCCCTCTCTCGTAGGCTTAAGTCGGGCCTGTCCCCCTACTGGGGGAATTTTCGACGAAAAATAAAAATTATCCCGGCAAAGCAACCTAACAGCGATGTGTAGAAGCATATCTGGAAGCATTATCCTTAAGGTTCAGATCAGAATCCAGTTGTAGAATTCTGCTGTTCTCACAGCCGCAGTCGCATTCGCGATGACAGTCGCAGTGGCAACGGCATTCGCAATCACAGCCTCAGCCTCAGCCTGCCTGAGTATCAGCCTGCCTCACTCTCAGCCTCAGCCTGCCTCAGCCTGCCTCAGCCTCAACCTCAGCCTGCTTCAGCCTCAGCCTCAGTCTGCCTTCAGCCTCAGCCTCAGCCTCAGCCTGCCTCAGCCTCAACCTGCATCAGCCTCTGCGTCTGCCTCAGCCTGCCTCAGCGTCTGCCTCAGCCTGCCTCAGCCTCAGCCTCAGCCTCAGCCTCAGCTGCCTCAGCCTCAGGCTGCCTCAGCCTCAGCCTCAGCCTCAGCCTCAGCCTCAGCCTCAGCCTGCTCAGCCTCAGCCTCAGCCTCAGCCTGCCTCAGCCTCAGCCTGCCTCAGCCTCAGCCTGCCTCAGCCTCAGCCTCAGACTCAGCCTCAGCCTCAGCCTCAGCCTCAGCCTGCTTCAGCCTCAGCCTCAGTCTGCCTTCAGCCTCGGCCTCAGCCTCAGCCTGCCTCAGCCTCAGCCTGCATCAGCCTCAGCCTCTGCCTCAGCCTGCCTCAGCATCAGCCTGCCTCAGCCTCAGCCTCAGCCTGCCTCAGCCTCAGCCTCAGTCTGCTTCAGCCTCAACCTCAGTCTGCCTTCAGCCTCGGCCTCAGCCTCAGCCTGCCTCAGCCTCAGCCTGCCTCAGCCTCAGCCTCAGCCTGCCTCAGCATTCAAAATGTGGCCCGGGAATGGAGTTCTGGGAACTCGAAGAACACGAAGTGGCCTACAGTTGGCTCCGGGCATCCAAAATGTGGCCCAGGAATGGAGTTCTGGGAACTCGAAGATCACGAAGTGGCCTACAGTTGGCTCCGGGCATCCAAAATGTGGCCCGGGAATGGAGTTCTGGGAACTCGAAGACCACGAAGTGGCCTACAGTTGGCTCCGGGCATCCAAAATGTACGCCGGGAATGGAGTTCTAGCAGCGCCAAGAGCGATTTTGCGAGGATGTCCCAGGCGATTTGGGCTTCGGCGGCAGCCGCCCCGGGTCCCGCCCCGACCCCCTGTGGAGTCATCTGCTGCTCTCTTTTGACACCACTAGAAACCTATCAGTCTTCGCTGTTAGGTAAATACCCCAACAATTCATCAAAAATAATATGTGTTGACCTTTTTGGAATATTTTTGGGGTATTTTTTTATTTTTCGTCGAGAATCCCCCTGTAGGGGGACAGGCCCGACATGATCGTAGGCCTAGAGGTTGACACCAACACCAATTTCGGCGGTGTGCTTCCACCGAGGGACAAAGATCCTAGATCTCGGTGAAGGTGGATATATTCTGGCTTCGAAGGTGACCGAAGAATTGCCACGAACACCGACATCCAGGATCACCTTCCCCCTGTGGAGGCAACCCCCTGTGCTGGTGTTGATGCCCATTTCCAGGCCTCCAACTCTACAGGAGGAATCCCAGACATCGGGCTCTCTCGAAAAAATCGAGACGGAGGCTTTTCGTCGTTTTCGGCCTCCCGGGGCCCTCGCCGGGCCTCGGGACCGTCAAAAAACGAGTCGGGATGAGACCGGTCCTGGGGAAGCGTTCGGGAGGTCTGGGACCCATGTCTCGAAAAAACCGAGGCGTCGGATGCCTGGGATACTCAAGTATAGTTAAGAAATTCTCATGGGACGATTTTTCTCGCCTCTTTGGCAATTTTTGTTTTTTTTTTAGGGTAATTTTCATTTTTCTTTTAAAATCCGCCTGTAGGGGGACTTGCCCAACCTGAGCCGAGGCGGGTGGCCGCAGCGGCGGCGCGGGGCTGTCCGCGGAACTCGGCTGCGCGTAACAGTTCGGACGAGGAAAAGGTACACATACCTCTACCCCCTCCGCCCGTTTTCCCTTCCTGGGGCCTCCTGGGAGGCCCTTGTCACCACCGTTGGATTCGCCTCGGAAGCCTGGGCAGATCGCTCCCCAGGACATGTCCAGGGAGTAGCGGTATCGGTACCTGTTGCCGGAGGGCTCCAAAGGGGGCTCTCGGGGAGGGGTTTTCCAGGAGGGCCCCCCCCGGGGCTTCGCACCCCCTGTTTTGACGAGGCTCCGAAGCCCCTAGAGGCCCTGGGGGGCTCTCTGGCCTCCTCCTCCTCCTCCTCCTCCTCTTTCTCCTCCTCCTCCTCCTCCTCCTCCTCCTTTTCCTCCTCCTCCTCCTCCTCCTCCTCCTCCTCCTCCTCCTACTCCCCTCCTCCCCCCTCCTCCTCCTTCTCCCCCTCCCCCCCTAAACCCCCTCTGGAACCTGCTGGTGTTGGGTTCCCCAACGGTGCCAGGGAGCCGACGCACCAATAATTGACATCGAGCGGGCGGCGCTTGTGGTCGATTTTTCGGCCCTGGGGGCCCTCGCTGGGCCTCGGGACCGTCAACAACGGCTCGGCCCGGGAAACAATGAACATACATGATAGACACACATATATACACACATATAGATATAGCATATATATACATACACACAAACATCCATCCATCCATCCATCCATCCATCCATCCATCCATCCATCCATCCATCCATCCATCCATCCATGCATGCATGCATGGATGGATGGATGGATGGATGGATGGATGGTCCCGACGGTGTCGTCCCGATGGTTGTCCCGATGGTTGTCAAGATGGTTGTCCCGATGGTGGTCCCGATGGTTGTCCCGATGGTTGTCCCGATGGAGGTCACGATGGTTGTCCCGATGGTGGTCCCGATGGTTGTCCCGATGGTTGTCCCGATGGTTGTCCCGACGGGCGTTCCTATGGTTGTCCCGATGGTTTTCCCGATGGTTGTCCCGATGGGTGTTCCGATGGTTGTCCCGATGGTTGTCCCGATGGTTGTCCCGATGGCTGTCCCGATGGTTGTCCCGATGGTTGTCCCTATGGTTGTCCCGATGGTTGTCAAGATGGTTTTCCCGATGGGTGTCCCGATGGTTGTCTCGATGGTTGTCCCGATGGTTGCCCCGATAACTGTCCCGATAGCCGTCCCGACGGTTGTCCCCACGGTTGTCCCAATGGTTGTCCCGATGGTTGAGGTCCATAGATAGATAGTTAGATGACGTGCTTGAGGGATCGAATCGATAGGTAGATCGATATATAGAGAGATAGATGTATGTGAATATACGTCTATGTGTATATATAAATATACATACATATATATAGCCCTGTGCACCCACCAAGAACCCCTTTCTCATGATTATATATGATTTTACATATGATTCCTACGAATTTCGGACTCATTTTTGAGGCTCTTTTTTGGGAGACTTTTTGGGCTCCCTTCTACTCAACTCCCTCCGCGTCCAACACAACGCCAATTACTCAACAGACTCCTTCTCCAACACAATACCCGATACTCAACAGGCTCCCTCCCCAAGCTGAACTTGAAAAGAACCTTCTACTCAACTCCCTCCGTCTCCAACGCAACACCCAGTACTCAACAGCCTCCTTCTCCAACACAACACCCGATACTCAACAGGCTCCCTCCCCAAGCTGAACTTGAAAACAACCTTCTACTCAACTCCCTCCGTCTCCAACACAACACCCAGTACTCAACAGCCTCCTTCTCCAACACAACACCCGATACTCAACAGGCTCCCTCCCCAAGCTGAACTTGAAAAGAACCTTCTACTCAACTCCCTCCGTCTCCAACACAACACCCAGTACTCAACAGCCTCCTTCTCCAACACAACACCCGCTACTCAACAGGCTCCCTCCCCAAGCTGCACCAAGAACCCCCCTTTCTCATGATTATATATGAATTTATATATGATTCCTACGATTTTCGGACTCACTTTTGAGGCTCTTTTTTGGAAGACTTGTTGAGCTCCCTTCTACTCAACTCCCTCCGTCTCCAACACAACACCCAGTACTCAACAGCCTCCTTCTCCAACACAACACCCGATACTCAACAGGCTCCCTCCCCAAGCTGAACTTGAAAAGAACCTTCTACTCAACTCCCTCCGTCTCCAACACAACACCCAGTACTCAACAGCCTCCTTCTCCAACACAACACCCGATACTCAACAGGCTCCCAAGCTGAACTTGAAAACAACCTTCTACTCAACTCCCTCCGTCTCCAACACAACACCCAGTACTCAACAGCCTCCTTCTCCAACACAACACCCGCTACTCAACAGGCTCCCTCCGTCTCCAACACACACATGTACTCCAGATCCTACCACTACAACACGACGCGACACCCGAAACTCCAACCGCAGCCGCCCCCCTTTTTTCTTGGCATCTTCCAAGAGAAAAGGGGGGTTCATGGTGGGTGCGCCGGATGTATTAGGTTGACAGCAGCAAGTGGGAGCAGGTGGTGTTTGATGTTTTTCGTGCATTCTTTGCTGGCGGTAGGCGGGGCCCATTGCAAATCCGCCGCCTCCCCCTTGCCCCCCCAACCTCCTTCTCGCACGAAGGGTGGTCCTATCGGTATAGATGTTCCAGCTGTGTGCTCAGTAAGCCCATGCACTCTTTGCATTATGTATGGTTTTTGCTAGCAGCTAGGTCGAGATTGAACACTTTCCATGTCAAATGCTTGCAACGCTTACTTGGTATTCCGCACTCTTTTATTCCGCGTGTGAGCAACGACGACATTTTGCCGCGAGCGTCATCGACACCATTATCTGAGATTCTGAAGGAACGCCCGATAGCTCTGTACAGTCGAGTCGCCAGGTCTCCAGACCTTTCCCTGATCAAAGACATCTTGTGCGATGCGGACGGTATTACAAACAAGTGGGCACGCTGCTGGAAACGAGGGCGCCCGCGACAACAGTGTGCGGCTTCTGTATATGATCTGTCTCAAAACTAACTCCACTTCGCCTGCTCCTTGTCCTCCTCACTGTCCTCCTCCTCTTCCTCCTCCTCCTCCTCTCTTGTTCCCTGCCTCACAGTCATGATGCGTTTGTTTTTCTGCTTCGCAGTCGAGCCTCTGTGTGCATGTACTCTCTCAGCAGGTTGTACTTTATAGATTTCCACGAACAGCTGCCAATCGTGCGCTCCTGTGCCCATGCTGCGCCCTTCTGGATGCTCGGCTCAGCCAGCCAGCCAGGGAAGTGGCCCAGACCTCCAGAGACCACGCCTCGAAACACTTGGAGCAGTCCGATGTCTGGGTTTCCCGAGCGAGGGGGGGCAATGAGCGGGAGAAGGTCTTCTCAGAAAGCGGTGGGGCTTCTCAGAAGCCGTCCGGCCCTCTGAGAAGTTTTTGATGTGTCTTCGGGGAAGGTTAAGACACTTTCTCAGAAGGCCAGGGAGGACTTCCGAGCCTTCTGAGAAGGCCCCCCCGCTTTCACTTCTCCCCGGGCGCGCCGCCGAGGTTTGAGTAGGAAATCGATTGCAGAATTGATGTATCGCAGAATTTCAAGGTATATCGACGATGTGGTCGATGTCCGACCCTCCGACTCGAAGAGTTGCGCCTCGCCGGAGGGGACCTGCCAGGGCGGGCGGTTGTGCTTGCGGGTGGCCTGCAAAGGTGGCGTCCCCTGGAGGTCGGACGTGGCTATAGGACGAGAACAGAGCGTTCCGGCACGCTTTCAGGAGGCCGCGGCGCCAGCGGCAGCTTTCAGAATCGCCCGATCTCAGAGATTCTCGATTTATCTCTATCGTGGCTTCGCCTTACCTTATTAGGGGCCTGGCTTTTGTCCTCGCCCTGGCTTTCGTCCTCGTCCTGGCTTTTACTCTCTGAGGAGGCCGCGCACCCGAGGCCACTCCTGCCCCGGGTCTCTCCCTCTTTGCGTGCACCAGCCGAGGAGCTGCAGCGGGCCATCGCGGGGGCCCGGCAGCTGGAGGCGGAGGTGGGACAGGCGGAGGCGGAACTGGCGGAGCTGGACGACGAGCTGGAGGACCGCCTCCTCGGCCTCGGTCCTCGTTCTCGCCTCCCCCTCCCCCTCCCTGTTCTGATCCTCGTCCTCCTCCCCCCTCCTCCCTCCTCCCTCCTCCCTCCTCCCTCCCTCCTGCGGGTACTGCGGGTACCAAGAGTGTCAGCCATACAGCGCACAGCTGGCACGTGGGCACTGACCCAGAAGATTAGTGCAGAGAAATGAAATCCCCCAGGGCTGTGCCGCTGACCTGCTGGGGGGAATGAATTCTGCACTGCGTCATGGGGAGCTTGCCCTTGAGGAGGGCTCGCTTCTCTTTCGAATTTTCATTCGGCACACACCTCGACCTCAGCTTCTCCTCCCCTCTCCTCCTCCTTCTCCTCCTCCTCCTCCTCCTCCGCCTCTTCCTCCTCCTCCTCCTCCTGCTCCCTCTTCCCTCCTCGTCCTCCTCCCTCCTCATCCTCCTCCTCCTCCTCCTCCTCCTCTGCCTCTTCCTCCTCCTGCTCCCTCTTCCTCCTCCTCCTCCTCCTCCTCCTCCTCCTCCTCCTCCACCTCCTCAACTGGCGCGGCTCCGCGGGCGCGCCGACGTCCCTCTTTCTCCCGGCCCGCCGCTGCCCGCGGCCTCGTCCGCGCGCCGTGCGCGTCGGGGGGCTCGCCTCGCCCGCGAGGCCGCCGGGGCCTCGCCCCGCCCGCTGCGGGCCGCCCCGGGCCCGCCGCCTCCCCGCCCGCCCGCTGCCCCGCCCGCCCCCGCCGCTGCCCCGCCCGCTGCCCCGCCCGCTGCTCCGCCCGCTGCCCTCCCCTGCTGCCTCCCCCGCTGCCTCCCCGCCCGCCCCCTGCCCTGCCCCAAGAGGGCCCCAAGGCGACCCAAGATGGCCTCCAAGACGGCCCTGGAGCACCCCAGGAGGGCCCCAAGTCTCCCCAGCGAGGCCCTCAAGACGGCTTCCGCGCTCAGCGCAGCGCCGGATGAGCCCTGCCCCCCAGCGCTCCTAGGGAGCCGGATGCGAACCCTGCCCCTATCCCCCACGATTTCTGGGGGGGAGGGTGGGGTTCACTTCGCTCGGGAGCTCCCGAGCGAAGTGGACCCCACCCTCCCCCTCAGAAATTGTGCGGGTTAGGGGTAGGGTTCGCATGTGGCCCCCCAGCGCTCCTTCCCGCGCTCCGCGCAGCGCCGGTTGAGCTCGTAACACCGGGAGGTCTTCAGTTTTAATATCCCCCCTTCCCTGCCTTGCCTCCTCCTCCTCCTCCTCCTTCCCCCTCCATCTTCTCCTCGTAGCTGTCGGCGTCGTTGTTCCGCGGCGGGCGCCGCGGGGGACAAATAACGACTTACCGCTATTGGCGGACCATTCGTGTACCACCAGTCCGTGAACTAAAGCCGCCAAACAATGAGTGTGTTATTCCCTATTGGGGTCGGGCTCTAAAGCTTTTCGGGCGGGGCTAGGACGAGGACATATTCGTTCCAGAGCGTTCCGGGACGCCCTCAGAGCGTTTCGGAACGTTCTGAGAAGGCCGCGGCGCCCAAGACATCCTCCGGAGCTGCGGGATCTCAGAGATTCGTGATTTGTCCTCACCCAGTTTCATCCTCGTCCTGGCTTCGTCTTAGCTTTGGATCGGTCGGTCGTCTGTTCATCCCGGCCGCGTGTGCTCAAGACTGTGCGTGTGCGCCCGCAATCACTCGGCAATGGTTTCTGAGAGGGATGGGGGGCCTGCGCGCAGCGGGCCATATGATGGCATTCCCTCCGTCCTTGTAAGCAACACTGCGCAGTGCCTTGGCATCGCTCGGCGAGGACCATCGAGGAGCATTTGGGGCCGTCTTGCGAACACAACTGCACGCACGAAGCCGAAAAGTGCACGGGGAATGGACGTCCGAGCGATGGCGAGGCTTTCAAGTGCGCCGTGTTTTTGCTTTGGGATTGTTTTGGGGACAGGAATGATGGGGGGGCAGTGCCCCGGGTCGGCCGCCGGTCGAGTGTGGGGGGAGGGGTGCTTGTTGATGCGGAGCAGCGCCCCCCCCCCCACCGAGGGGGACTAGTGGGGCGCTGGAAGAGCAGGCTCCCGATCCGCGGACGATGTGTCTGCACCGTGCCGCGTTGGCTTCCCCCGAGGCGCTGTCGACCTTCGACCCAGGGATGGATCACGGCGCATAGTTTGTCGGCCCTGAGGAGCCCCCCAAACTGTGCACCGTGCCACGTTAGAGCCACGGTGCAGGGGCGCCGTTCTCGTGCCTGAAGATCGGGGGCGGCACAGAGGGGGGGGGGGGGGGGGCGACTAGGGGGGGGGGGGGGATATCCCGGCGTGGGCCATATGATAGTTCCCCGGGATCATGGCGCGTCTTCTTACTCCACGACGTCCCCGGCCCGGGCCGCGCACGTGCCGCCGGCCATGCTTTGCGCCCCCCCCCCCCTCTTGGACGCGCCCCTCGGGGCCGCCCCCGACGCCCGAGGAGTGGCCCCGAGGGTCTCTCTTCGGGGGAGGCGCGCGCCGCGCGCACGCCCTGCGCCGAGCCGTGCGTGCCCTGCCGGGCCGGGGCTGCAGGACCCCTGGCTTGGCCCGGCCAGGGGGGCGCCGCGCCAGGGCTCGGCGTCGTGCCGTCCTCGCGTCAGGAGGGGAAAACACACACAGACACAGACACGAGTCGTCGTCGATCCCCAGGAGAATAATATGGGGCAATATGGGAAGTGGGGGGGAAGACAAAACCCCAGGAAGTATGGGAAAATATGGGGGAGTCCAGCTACTCATCGGTCGTTGAAAGTAGGTATTTTTGGATTCCCAGATTCCAATCTACTTTCAGCGCCTTCCTACTTCAAGAGTCGAGTGGTGTTCCCTCTTCCTTCCTCTTCAGGAGGCGTGCGGAAGCCCAATCTATTTCCAACGCCTTCCTACTTCATGTTTCTACCTACTTCTTCCGACCGATGGGTATTTGTGTGTATGCATTTGTGTGTCCCAGGGCCCCTTCAAGGAGGGCGCCACGCCAGGGCTCGGCGTCGTGCCGTCCTCGCGGCGCGGGCCCGGCGGCGCTCGGCCCCCTCCCCTAAGGGAGGAGGAGGAGGAGGAGGAGGGAGAGGAGGAGGAGGAGGAGGAGGCGGCGGAGGGGGGAGGAGGAGGAGGAGGAGGGAGGAGGGGAGGAGGGGAGGAGGAGGGGAGGAGGAGAGGGGGAGGGGGAGGGGAGGGGGAGGGGGAGGAGGAGGAGGAGGAGGAGGAGGAGGAGGAGGAGGAGGAGGAGGAGGAGGAGGAGGAGGCGAGGAGGAGGAGAGGAGGAGGAGGAGGAGGAGGAGGAGGGGAGGAGGAGGAGGAGGAGGAGGAGGAGGAGGAGGGAGGAGGAGGAGGAGGAGGAGGAGGAGGAGGAGGAGGAGGAGGAGGAGGGGGAGGGGTGGGGGAGGGTGACGGGGGAGGGGGAGGTGAGGGAGGGGGGGGAGAGGGGAGGAGGGGAGCAGGAGAGAGGAAGAGGAGGAGGAGGAGGAGGAGGAGTGAGGAGGAGGAGGAGGGGGAGGAGGGGGAGGAGGGGGAGGAGGGGGAGGAGGAGGAGGGGGAGGAGGAGAGGAGGAGGAGGAGGCGGAGGAGGAGGAGGAGGAGGAGGAGGAGGAGGAGGAGGAGGGGAGGAGGGGGAGGAGGGGGGGAGGAGGGGGAGGAGGGGGAGGAGGAGGAGGAGGAGGAGGAGGAGGAGGAGGAGGAGGAGGAGGAGGAGGACGGAGAGGAGGAGGAGGAGGAGGAGGAGGAGGAGGCGGAGGATGAGGAGGGGGAGGGGGAGGGGGAGGGGAGAGGGGGAGGGGGAGGGGGAGGAGGGGGAGTGGGAGGAGGAGGAGGAGGAGGAGGAGGAGGAGGAGGAGGAGGAGGAGGAGGAGGATGAGGAGGAGGACGAGGAGGAGGAGGAGGAGGAGGAGGAGGAGGAGGAGGAGGAGGAGGAGGAGGAGGAGCAGGGTGAAGTCGGTCACGTCCCTCTACACGAGGAGTATCTCAAAGACGGTAAAAAGACCGGTCTGGGGACGGTGCTTCAAGTATTTTTGGCTAGTCCTGAGCAATTTTGGGCAGTTTTGCAGTTTTCGTCCAAAATCCGCCTGTGGGAGGGCACGCCCGACCTAACCCTAGGGGCAGTTCTCGCAGGCCCTGGGGCCCGAAGACGGCCGCGGGGGGCCGAGCTCGCTGACAAAGGCGCCCGGCGGGGCGTTGGCTAGCACATCGATGACGCAGGTCAGCTCGTCAGCGGGCCGCGTGGCTGGCGTCCGCCCGTGCTTCCGGGGGAGCCGGAGAGAGAGAGAGAGAGAGAGAGGACGCCCCTGGAATGGCCACCGTGTTGCTGCTCCTCCTCCTCCCCCGCTCCTGGGCCACGCGGGAGGCCTCCTGTGGTCGCCCGCGGGGCGCTCGTGCGACTTTTGGGGGGCGAGAGAGGGGCCTCGTCGAGGCTCGCGGGCAAGTCGTGGCGGCGGCCTTGCGCCCGCTGCGCGCCCTCTGCGGGCCCGAGAGGAGCGCCTGGGCGTCAGGGGGCCAGCGGGAGCGGCCGCGGTGCGGTGGGGGCCCATGCCCAGCCCCGCTTGCCTCCAGGGGGCCCCAGGTCTCGACGAATTTGCCGCGGCGCCTCGGGGTGGGGCTTCTCGCGGGAGGCTCCTCGTGGGCTGGCCTCCGTTGGATCTTGCTCCTCCCGTCCTCCTCCCCTCCTGCTCCCGTCCTCCTTCCGTCCCCCTCCCGTCCTCCTCTCGTCCTCCTCCTGTCCCCCTCCTCCCTCTCCGGAGTCCACGCGGGCCGACGTGCCGCTCTTCTGCTGCTGCTCCCCGCTCCGCGTCTCCGGCTCCTCCTCCCGGCCCTCGCCCGCCCAGGCTCGCTCCGCGCCCGGCCTCCCCTCGCGCGCGCGCCGCGCGCCGCGCTCCGCGCTCCGGGCTGCCGCTGGCCCCCGCGAGCTCTCATCTCCCTCTCCCCGCTGCTCCCGGCTGCCCTGCCCTCTCGGCATACAGTCGGGGCGCTGAGGAAGGAACCCTTTTCGTTGGGGAGGGGCTCGGTGTTCCTTAGTCGTTTTGTAGTTCGCCTTTGGTTTTGCTTGGGGCTTCGATGGGAAATCGAAGTTTAACTTATGGGAAAAAGGGGCCTCGTTTCTTATTTAGGGTTCCTTAGGTCAACGCCCCGACTGTACAATTCTCGGAGGGTGATAGACCTCCTACCCTGACACGTCGACCAGCGAATTGGCCGTTTTCCGTTCGCGAGAGGGCGTCGCGGCCGTCATTTCTGCGGGTCCAGGTCCGTCGGTTGCCCGTCCCAGGCCGTTTTCACTCAAGGGAGGTTTACGAAAGGGAGGTTTGTCCACTGCCGAAATTACCGATTTTGCCAAACTCGCTGGCCCCAAGCGTATTCCTACTTACATCTTGTGCATGCTTAGTCTGCGAACGAGTGCGAGAGTTTCTCGACCGTGATGGGTTGCCTGAGGAAGCCGAACATGGGTCTTCCCGCCCTCTCCCTCGCTTCCGTCTCGTTCGGGGGCAGCTTTTTTTTTTTGGGGGGGGGGATTCGGCTGATGGGAGTTTGGGTTTGGGGGCGTTTCCGTTGGTTCTCGGCGGTGTTCCGCGCCTCGCCGAGAGCGTTCTAGGGGTGACCTGATCGCCCGCAGCCACGGGGGGCGGGGATCTGCTCAGGAGGGGCACATCGACCTCGATAGGGACCGATAGCCCACCCTGGCAGTGTCGGCGATGTGTTGTCGATTCCAGCTCGATAGTTCCCCTCTGAGTCCCTCCCCCTGAATGTCCCCCCCGTCCACTCGTCCGGGAAACTGCTTGGATGTCGCGTGCCTCGTGGGCCTCGCGCCTTCCTTCCACTCGTCTCGCCTTGATTTGACCCCCCTCCCCCGCGCAGTGGTTCCACAGCCTCGTTTCGAGTGCGGGCTCGTGCGATTCGCCGCCATCGCTCCTCCCGTATCACGCTGCGGCGCGTGCTCCTGGTGGAGACGTGCGGTGCCCGAGGTTGGAGTCACGATGCCCGTAGTCGCTTTGCACTGGCGTTCTAGGAAGCCTCCCACTCCCCCCCGTCCTCCTCCTTCCTCCCCCCCATCAGTGGGAAGTCGCTTGCACATAAGCCGCTCGGATCCGCTTTCTCTGCTCGCCCCGCTGCTGGGGGGGAGACATCGGGCCCGCTGGCTCTCAGCTTGCCTGCTTCCCCCCTCCCTCCCCAGACCTCCGACGTCTCGCGGCCCCCGGGCCCCCGCGGAGGTCTCGACGTCTCGCGGCCCCCTCTGCAGGGGACCGCTCCTTCTCGTCCCGGAGAGCTTTGTGGACGGTGCCGGGGGCCCGGCGGGGTCCCCCCACGGGCCGCAAGCGACGGGGACATTTCCGCCCTGTTTTTGTCGGTGCGTTGGAGGTGTGGGTCCCTCCCTCCCTCCCTCCCTCCCTCCCCATTGCCTCCCTCGGCGGCGAGCGAGGGGGGGAAGTGAGAAGGAGAAGGCCTTCTCAGAAGGCTCGGAAGTCCCCCAGCCTTCCGAGAGGTTTTTTGTAGGCCTTCCCCGAAGGCAATCAAAGAATTTCTCAGAAGGCGCGAGGGCTTCTGAGAAGTCCCGCCGCCTTCTGGTTCAGGCCTTCTCCTTCTCGCTTCCCCCCTTGCTCGCCGCCGACGCCCTCCTCCGCCGCCCACCTCCCACCCCCTTGCGAACAGAAACTTTCAGCGCCGCGCAACTCACGACCTGAGGCCCTGTATGCCCCGGCTTTTTCTTTGTGCGCTCCGCACTGCTCGCAAAAAGTGCCTCCTCGCAGACGTCAGGAAAAAAACAACACCTGCGTGCCTCGATGCAGTGCGTCGCAGGGCCAAGTCGGGCGTGTCCCTCTACTGGAGGAATATTCAGAAATAGGCTGGTGGCGATTTTTCTAACATGTGTCACTGGCTTGGAATCTGTTCGGACTGTTTTGAAGTGTTCTCGCGAAATCCGCCTGTAGGGGCACATGCCCGACCTAAACGTAGTGCGTCGTGGACCCCCTGCGGTGGATCCAGGCCAGCTGCGAGCGGGCAATTATTCCTTCCTCTGCGAGCAGTGGGCCGCGCGCCTGTCTGCTCCCGCGCAGGAGGGGGAGAAGCGCGTGGAGATGCTGGAGGTCGAGGTGGAGGAGGAGCGGCTCCGGGTCCACCAGCTGCAGGGACACCTCCTGCAGCGGGAGTCCGTCGCGAACGCCCTGTAGCGTCCCTCGTGCCCAGCAGCCTCCCTCCTCCTCCCTCCTCCCCCCTCGTCCTCCTCCCCATCCTGCGGAAGGGAAGAAGCACACACAGACACAACTTATCGTCCATTCTCAGGAGAACATGGGAAAACATGGGATGTGGGGGGGGAGACGAAAACCCATAACATATGGGGAAATATTGGGCATCCTGGGATTTATGTGTGTGTGTGTGTTTATGTGTGTGTGTGTGTGTGTGTCCCTGTGCCCCTGCAATCCTCTAGCAGCAGGAGGGGAATGAGGACCAGTGTAAATGAAGACGCATCAACGATGTTGCAATAAACCCTCCCTCCAAGTTCTCGCGCCATATATCCATACTACATATATTTTCATTGCGAGAAGTGCTCCGTTGGACGACAACCGTCTGTGAGTCCTCAACCATGCCAGAACTTCGTTCCTTGCTATTGAGCACCGCGAATCAACGTGACCGTCGCGTCCTTACAATCTTAAGTCGTGCCAGAGCACCATACTTCAATACCGCGAATCAGCGTGCCTGCCGCGTTCTGGCAATCTGTCGTGGCAGAACGCTATGCCTTGGACCTCAAACATCCGAATCCTTGAAACTGTTACAAATTTTGAGACGACTGTGTGCGGCGCTCAGGCGACCACCGCCTTTTGAAAGGAGCCGGTTCCATCTTTCAAACTGCTGCAAACTCTCTAGACGAATGTGTGCGGCGCTGAGCCGACAACCATCTTTTGTGATGAAACTGCCCGCCCTCACCCGTGGAGTTCTTGCACCGTTGTAAGGCGACTGTGCGCGGCGCCGTGGCGAGAGCCACAGTTTTGAAGACTGCCCGCCTTCCATCCGTGAGACTGTTGCACGTTTTTTTTTTTTTTTTTTTGAAAACCGCCCGCACTCCACCCGTGGAACTGTCGCAGCGTCTTGGCTGCGGGCTCCTAGCGTGTGGGGCACTCTCCGGCGCAACGCCCGGGGCCCGCCCGGCCGACGCCCGGGGGCGCGGCGCGGAGGAGCTGCTTCGGTGGGCCGCGGGGTGGGTCCTGAGGGTGCGGATGATACGCGGTGAGTCTATTCTACTAGGGGTGGTGGGCCTGTTTTCCACCACCACCACCATGAGTAGGAGGGGGAGGGGGTCCTCCTCCTCCTCCTCCTCCTCCTCCTCCTCCTCCTCCTCCTTCCCCCCTCCAACTTATGGTGGTGGTGGTGGACAACAGGCCCACCAAGGGGAACCACAAGTGACATAAACATAAAAACTCGGAGGTCCGCGCGGATTTCTCGCATCGGCGCTGGGGCCCCCCGGCGGCGCCTCCGGCGCCGCCCCTGGCCCGCTCCGCGCGCCAGGGAGGGGGGTCCAGCGCCGATCCGAGAAATCCGCGCGGACCTCCGAGTTTCTATGTGTATGCCACTTTCTGTTCCCCTGATTCTACCCCCTGGCACCGAGCCACCATGGGCAGAGCTGCTCTACCTGCTCATCCCGGTCCATGCCTGGGCCTTCCCGGCCGCGCCGACCACTCTCCCAAGCACAACCAGCGCCTTTTGTCAGGAGCGAAAGAAGGACGTATATGTACATGAATCCACGCTGGTTTCGAGAGCACGCATAGCACAAATGTTCGTATAACGCGGCCGGTCTCGCGAATCGAGGGGCCGTGTTCATGTACATAGCTGGGCGCGTACGTCCTTTGTGGGCTCCCTATTTTGGGGCGTCGAACAGATCCGCGCATGCCTGCAGTCTGCTGGCGCTGCCCGCGCGGGAGTCGACGCGCTGTCGCCGACGGGGGGCCAGCGTGTGAGGAGCCACCTCGCGCCAGGAGGCCTCGGCAGGTTCCGCTGGCAGGGCCAACGCTGAGGAGGGGAAAAAACAGACTGACACAATTAATCGCCGACTCCCAGGAAAATATTGGAAAATGTGGGAAGTGGGGGGGAAGACGGAAACCCTGAAAATATGGAAAACGATGGGGATTTGTTTTATTTGTGTGTATTTATGTGTGTGTCCTGGGGCCCCTTCAAACACCCCCGCCCGCAGCCCCCACGGCGGGCCCGTGGCCAAGCAGAGCACCCCGAGCTGCTGTGATGCCGCCCGTCGGCCCAAGCGCAGCACCCACAGTGGCCCCCAGGTCGTGTCTTGGGAGCAGGCCGCGCCCGAGAGGAGACCGCCGAGTCCTGCACCCAGCATTGGGTGGGCCCCCCGCAGTCGGGAGGGAGGCCCCCCCTCTCGCGCCTGCTGGCGCGCCGAGGCCCCACGGACTTTCCACAGCGGGATCTCCTGCAGCGCTTCTCCGCTCTCAGCCTGGACTTCGGCCTGGACGATGGAGTGGCCGCGGAGCTCCCAGGGGGACCCAAGGGGACGCCAGAACGTCCCTGGGAGCAGGATGAGGAGGCGGCGGGGCTGGCGCAGGAGGAGGCGGAACCATGGCCCCCCCACGGCCTTGGCACTCCCCTCGGAAGGGCGCTCCCCCGCCTCCTGGCAAGCCACTGGGAGCCCTGGTAAACCCGCCCTCGAATTCGATGCCACCCGCGCCAGGCATTCCTCAGGAGGGGAAAAAACACACACAGGCACAATGAATTGTCAATTCCCCAGAAAATATGGGAAACTATGGGAAGTGGGGGGAAGACAGAAACCCAGAAAATATGGGAAAATAGGGGGAATCGTTTTATTTGTGTGTATTTATTTGTGTGTCCCAGTTCCCCTTCAATTCCATGAGAATCAGGGTGCTCAAGGGACTCGAACGCGGCATGAGCACGTCCGTGCGACAAGACACAGTCCCTGACAGTTCTTCTGCAGCCAGAGAACCGCAAGGGCCAGTGCGGAGGGATATCCCAGAGCCCGGTCCCTTTCTTTTCGAATGCATTTGTTATTGTGAAGCCCCTAATCCAGCAGCCATCATGATCGCTATGGGCATCTCTCTCGGACTGGTGGGATTTGACCTGACAGACGTTGACCTTTGTGGGTCTATGCCAGCCCACCAGTCCACCCAGAAGTGAGGCCGCGGATTGCTATGCGAGAGGCCAGTTCCTGCATTTTGCGCATATTGCACCGTGCCATCTCAATCGCTGTGCACCTCGAGCGGGTCATCTTCGTTTACTCAGAGTGCAGGCTCAATATATAACATGCGTAGTCCTCTTCGTCCCTAACATCATGATTTGGGGAGAACCACAGAGAGTCTACTCCGTACATGCCAGCGACGAGCTGGCTTGCGCGATCTACGGCCACAACGGCTCATCCAGCCCTGTTCAGCACAGGCTTTGCTAAACGCACTCCCATCAAGGACAACCCTGACCGAGAACCTCCAACCAGGAGACACTCGCGAAACGCAACCAGTTTTCCTCTGGGACTTCCTTGCGGGGGAAAAGCACAATCGGGACTGGACCAGGGACAGCGCACAAACATTTCGGCGACGTATTCGCTAATGCCTCGCGCAAACGCAGCAGCTAGCTTCACATGCGGCGGGCAAACATCACGTCGAACCTCAACGAGCCTGGGGCACCCGTGTGTCCCTCTGCGACACGGTGCGCACACTTGACATGAGCGGCCTTGCCGTGAACGTGGAGTCGAGCTTGGGGTCAATGAGGGCCTCCAGCAGTCGAACGAATGGCAGCACACATGTGAGAGGTCCAGCCTGCCGAGGAACCCTTGCCTAGAGCAGCCTGCCGCGGACGCCTTCAAGAGGCGAGGTCCACGCGCCCGCAATCCGACGAGGAGCCGCCACGTCCGAGGCCGCACGCGCGGACTCTCGGGCAAGCTCCATGGGAATGGCGGGGACCAGGTGAGGTCAAACTCTCCGTGTTTGGGATCTCGACAGACAGTTGCACTGGGCAGCGTGGCCCCAATGCGGGCCAGGGAACGAAACGCCGCCTGGAGAAGGGGTGGGGAATGAGCAGGAGGAGGAAGATGATGAGGAGGAGGAGGAGGAGTTCGAGGAGCAGGACGAGCAAGCGGGAGGAGGGGAGGAGGGAGGAGGGAGGAGGAATGATGATGATGACGATGATGATGTTGATGCTGATGATGATGCAGATGATGATCCTGATGATGATGCTGATGGTGGTGATGATGATGCTGATTAGTATGATTATGATGATGATGGTTACGATGAGGATGAGGATGATTATGATGCTGACGATGCGGATGCTGATGATGATGATGCTGATGCTGATGATGATGATGATGATGATGATTATGATGATGATGATGGTAATGATACCGATGAGGATGTTTGTGCTGATGATGGTGCTGATGATGATGCTGCTGCTGATCATGATGATATCGATAATGACGTCAACGACGACGAATCCAATGCGGTTGACGATGCTGATAACGATGATGATGCTGATGCGGATGCCGATGATGATGCTGATATTGCTGCTGACGACGATGACGATGATTCTGATCATGTTGATGATGATGATGATGCTGATGCTGATGATGATGATGATGATGATGATGATGATGCTGATGATGCCGATGATGCTGATGATCATGCTGCTGTTGATGCTGACGATGTTACTGGTAATGATGATGCTGATGCTGATAGTGGTGATGGTGATGATACTGGTGGTACTGCTGTCGGTGGTGGTGGTGATGCTGATGCTGATGCTGGTACTGTTGTCGGTGGTGATGGTGATGAAACTGGTGGTTGTAGTGATGCTGCTGCTGATGACGACGATGACGATGCCGACGATGCTGACGATGTCGATGATGATACTGATCATGACGATGATGACGATGATGCTGCAGATCATGATGAGGATGCTGAAGCTGATGATGATGGTGATGCTGATGATGATGCAGATGAGGATGCAGCTGCTGATGATGATGATGCTGATGATGATGTTGACGCTGACGCTGACGCTGATGCAGATGATGATACTGATGGTGATGGCGATGCCGATGATGATGCGGCTGGAGATGACGCTGCTGATGATGATGATGATGACGAGGTTGATGATTCTGCTGCTGATGATGCTGATGATGATGGTGGTGGTGATGCTGGCGATGATGATGATGATGACGATGATGATGATGAGGATGATGATGATGACGATGATGATGATGATGATGATGATGATGTTGATGATGATGATGATGCTGCTGATGTCGCGGATGATGCGGGTGATGCTGCTGCTGATGATGATGCTGATGCTGCTGACACTGATCATGATGATGCTGCAGATGATGATGGCGATGCATGACGGTGATGATGGTGATGGTGATGATGAGGAGGAGGATGGTGATTATTCTGTCCATGAAGAAGACGCCGAAGATGATGTTGCTGCTGAGGAGGATGACGACGGTGGTGATGACGACGACGACGACGACGATGATGATGATGCTGATGCTGATGATGATGATGATGATGATGATGATGATGATGATGATGATGATGATGATGATGACGGTTGTGGTGATGATGCTGATTGTGGTGATGTTGATTTCGATGATGGTGTTGATGATGATGTAGATGATGATGATGATGATGATGATGATGATGATGATGATGATGAGGAGGATGAGGATGAGGATGAGGATAAGGATGAGGATGAGGATGAATATGAGGGTGAGGGTGAGGATGAGGATGCTGGTGATGTTGTTGATGATTATGTTGAATGTGAGGAGCAGGAGAAGGAATAGGAGTAGGATTCGGGATCATGATACGGACACTGATGATGGTGATGCTGATTTTGCTGCTGATGATGAGGGGGATGGCGATGGTGATGGTGCTACTGCTGGCAATGCTGATGATGGTGGTGGTGATGATCATGGCTACTGTTCACAACGAGGGACAGGTGGATGAGGTCATAGGAGAGAGCCAAATCTTGCGCTCGTGGCATACCCGACGTCCTACCTTTAACCTCTCATCCTTTCCGCTATAATAATTTTGCATCCGCTGATTCGAGTGTCAAAGAGGACATTGGTCCCTAACATTAGATGCGCAAGCAGACATCGAGCCCTTGTACATTAGAGGAGGAGGTAGTGGATGAGATAGAGGACTAGCAGGGGGAACGGGAGGACGAAAGGGAAGGAGGAGGAGGAGGTGGAGGAGGAGGAGACGGAGGATGAGAAGAACGAGCAGGAGGAACAGGAGGACCACGGGGAGGCAGACGAGGGGAAAGGAGGGGAGCGGCAACGACAAGGAAGGATTCGTATCCAAGAATGTGGCCTTTGCTTGGGCGCTTACCCTTCTCTTCCTCCTCCTGTCTAATATCTCCTCATCCTCCTCTTCCTGTCTCATCTCTCATCTGTCCTTCTCCTCCTCCTCCTCCTCTTCCTCCTGTCCCATCTCTCATATGTCCTCCTCCTCCTGTCTCCTCTCTCATCTGTCCTCCTCCTCCTCCTTCTGCTCCTTCTCCTCCTCCATCTCCTCCTGTCTCATCTCTCATGTGTCCTCCCCCTCCTCCTCCTCCTCGTCCTCCTCCTCCTCCTCCTCCCTCTCTCCTCTTCGCCGTGCCGACCGAGCTGGCTAAGACAGCCCGGCTCGCAGCACGGAAGCCCGACGTGGGGGACCAAAGAGGCAGGCAATTGGGTCGCGCCGCGCCATCTCCCTCCACCCCTGGCTGCGGATTCTGGCTGCTGCTGCTTCGCCCCCTCCCCCTCGTCCTTCTCGTCCTCCTCGTTCTCCTCGTCCTCGTCCTCCGCGTCCTCGTCCTCGTCCTCCTCGTCCTCGTCCTCGTCCTCTGTCTCCTCCTCCTCCTCCCTCCTCTCCTCCTCTCCTCCTCCTCCTCCTCCTCCTCCCCCCCTCCTCCTGCTCCTCCTCCTCCTGCTCCTGCTCCTCCTGCTCCTCCTCCTCCTGCTCCTCCTCCTCCTCCTCCTCCTCATTTCCCCCCCTCCTGTCGTCCTCCCCATCCTCCATCATCCACTCCCTCCTCCACCCCTGGCTGCAGATTCTCGCTGCTGCTGCTTCGCCCCCTCCTCGAAGCAAAACTGTGAGCTGGTGGTGAGTCGCCGTTTGTTTATTGTTTCGCCGATCGGCGCTAGCTCCCGCCCCCCCCCCCCCCCCCCCCCCACCCTCGTAGACCAGGTGCTGTCTGCTCTTGGCGGCTGCTTTGGGCGACTGGTCAGGGTCCCCTCTCCCAGTCTGCCTGCGCGACCTGTAGAATCAGATTGACTCAGCGCCGGCCCAGACCCAGACCCCCCCCCCTCCCCCACCCTTCGTCCAACTGTCGAACCCCAGAATCAAAACACGCCTACTTGTCGCTAAGCCGTCAACCTCATCACCGCGGGGGTCCTCGCAGAGCTCTCTGCATTTTATGCTGTTGCACAAGAAAAGATCAGGAAGCGCAGGGAATCCAACCACATAGCATCCGAGATCACTATCCATAGTGGAAACTGACTTTCCATCTTGAACATGATGTATGATGTCAGTTCCTAGAAGGATTTTGATAGACATAGTGCAGCTACCGCCATGGAGCTAGTATGCTGTTCCCCCTCCTCGAAACAACATCATGAACATAAGCTGTCTCGGATTTCTCGGATCGGCGCTGGGGTCGCCCCTGGCGGAGGGGTGCCCAGCACCGATCCGAGAAGTTCGCGTGAAAGGTTTATGCAGTTTCGCCCTTTCCCTCCTTCTGCTCCGCCATGCCAGTCGCTACGAGCGTCTGGGTTGTTGCCTCGGCGAAGCCCTCTTTCTGGGGGACCTTTCGCCCCACGCGAAGGCTTGGAGTCGTGGGCTCCTCCTTCCTCTCAGCTGTTAGCTGGTCTTGTGGTATGCCCTGCTTGTTCGGCTGCGTGTGGGCGCGTGGGTGTCCTGGCGGTCCCCGAGGACGCCCGCAGGCCCGCCGCACACCCCGTCCCGCTCCGCCCGGGCTGCGCGTCTCGCCCCATGCGGGCCCTCCGCAGGCGGCGCTTGCGGCACCAGGCCTCGATCCGCCAAGCTCGCTCTTCCCAGACCACCTCGCGTCGTGAAAAAATCACGACGGAAGGTTTTTCACTATTTTCGCCCTCTGGAGGTCCTCACCGGGCCGCGGGAGCGTCAAAAAACGACTCAGGATGGAAAACCGGTCCCGGGGAAAGGGTCCAGACCTTTGGGGGTCGCGTCATGAAAAAATCATGACGTCGGGGGTCTGGGTTTGTGGGCCCCGGAAACGGCAGGGCCGTTTTTTCACCGCTTCCAGAAACAATGTCCCTTGAAAACGGAGACGGCAAACAAAAAACCGGCGACCGGAAACGGGACAAAAACGGCTCCAGGATTGGAGCCGGAGCCGGAACCGGTCAAAAAGCGGCGACGGAACCGGTAAAAAAACGGCGTCGTAACCGGCAAAAAAAAAGGCAAAACGGAACCGGTAAAAAAACGGCCCTGTCGTTTCCAGGGCCCACTAAGAACTCACTCGTCTTCCCGGAGGACGGGCAGCCCCTGTTCGGGTTTCTTCACGCGTTTCGCCCCCTAGGGGCTCTTCGGGCCAGATTGCCTACGGTGCAGCATCCACGAGCATCGTCGACGATGGGACCAGAGGGGGGGGCGGAGAGACGCAGCGTACAGTGGGGGTTTCGAGGAGTCCCTGGGCCCACCCACCCTGCCGGCCTATCGAGGCCAATTCGTTCACGTGAAGTAGCCGCAAAGGATTCCTCTGCACTCCCATCTCCGGTCGTGGAAAAGTCACGCCGGGAGTTTTTTTTATGTTCGGCTTCTGGGGGCCGTTGCAGGGCCTCGGGCTGTCAACAAACGATTCGAAACCGGTCCAGGGAAACGGGTCGGTACCTCGGGAGGTCGACGTTCAGGAAACATCATACCGTCGGGGGTGAGGGTAGGTTTCGACAACGTTGGGTCTCGAGGCTCGAGGTCAGCGGCTTCTGGACGTCGTCGTCGGCTCTCGACGGCTTCCATCCTCCGGATGCTCTCCAGCAGCTGTGTCCCGCCCAGAGCGTTCCAGCCCTGTCGAAACCGATAGTAAGGACCGGCGGCGAGCGAGGGGGAAAGTGAGAAGGATAATGCCTTCTCAGAAGGCGGCGGGACTTCTCAGAAGCCCTCGCGCATTCCGAGAAATGGTTTTCTCGTCTTCGTGGAAGGCTTCGAAGCCTTCCCAGAATGCAGGCCGGGAGGCTTCCGAACCTTCTGAGACGGCCGTCTGTTTCTCACTTCCCCCCCTCGCTCGCCGCCGAAAGGATGGGTCAGATGGGTAGCCCTCCCAAGGGTACCACCCTTGCCTTTTCGGTCCATCCTTGACCCCTTTCGGTGGCCGCGCTCCGCTCGACGAGTTCCCGCACGGGCGCCCAAGGGGCTTGCATCCTCATCCTGGGATGCAGCTCCTGGGAGGTATACTTCTGCATCGGCGCTGGTATTTTCGGGTCGATACCCGGCTGAATCTGGGCTAGTCTAGTTTAGTCTGGCTTGATCTTGTTTCATCCCGCTGAATCCGGCTTAGTTTGGGCTTAATTCGGCTTTATTCTGGGTTTCATCGCCCGTAAATCGTTCGAGCGAAGACCTCCCAGAAGTCGTATCCTAACTTATCGCGCATCCTCACTCTCAGTTTTGATTGTACTGCCCCTCTTGTGTCGCATCTTTGGGGGACCTCGCCTGTCCTCCGAAGTGGTGTCCTTCCTTGCGCCCGAAGCGGGCTCGATGCGGACTCGACGCGGATTCGGCGCGGATTCGGCACGGATTCGACACGCATGCGACGAGTCCGACGTGGACTCGACACCGATTCTATGCGGATAGGGCCGTGACGGGACAGACAGGGTCTCCCGATCGGGCGAAGAGAACTATGCACATGCACCGATCCTGGCAAGGCCCATCCTTGACCCAGGATCGGTGCATATGCCTTCCTGGCCAAGGTAGGAGGGCGTATGCACCGATCCTGGGCTCAGGATGAACCTGGCCAGAATCGGTGTATGTGCATAGCTCTTTTTCCTCTATCCCGAGGATGCCACACGACGCTCCGCTGCTGCGCGCCCGCCCGCCCGCCCCGCCCCCCGCCCCCCTGGCCCCCCCCCAAGCCGGCGCGGCCCGCGCAGGCGGCGGCGGCGGCCGCGGCAGGGACCCGCCCCCCCCCCCTCCCCGACCCGCCGCTCGGCTGCTCTGCGCTGCTCCGTCTGGGAAGGGAGGGGAAGGTGCGGCGAGGTCGAGAGTTTTTGCTCGCGGCTCAATTGGTCGGAGAGTTTCTCCGGGTCTTGTGGGGGGCTTTCCTGTTGGTTCTCCGCGGGCTTCCGGCCTCGGGGTGCCTCCCAGCAGCTGCGCCGCGCCGACAGCGTTCCGGGGGTGCCCGGATCGCCCCGAACGGCCGCTGCAGCGAGCCGAGCGATGGTCCCCAAACCCTACCCTCGCAGATCAACGGGTCGGGTAACTCGACGCCCTGCCCCCTGGGCTCCCTCGGAGGGGGCCAGAGGGGCAGGGCCCCAGACGTCCGCCGGCCTGCTTTCTTCCCTCCGCGGCCCCAGGAGGGCCCGGCGGCTTCCATGGGGTATAGCCCGTCCTCCCGGATCAGCGTGTGAGGGTCGCAGGGCCGAGAGAGCGCGCCAGAGTCGAGAGAAAGAGCACCCGGATGGAAGCACCGCCGATTCCCAGGGGACGTAGGGGGAGATGTGGGGAGTGGAGGGGCGACGAGACCCCAGAAGATATGGCAGCTGTGGGTCAGGCGATCGCGAACACGGATCAAGGGGGCGTGGACTGGTGACGTGTCCCGTTTCCATGGGGGATCTCGGATCTCCGCCGCCGAACGAGGCGGCACCGGCCGCATGCTGGGGGCGCGCCAGGTCCATGGATCGCTCGTCCATGCTTACGCGCCCCCGAGTGGGGCATCCTGGGATCTGGTGGCATTCGTTTGTGCGCTCCTGGGCGCCTCGCTGGTCGGAGGCCTGGGGCCCCACCGCCGAGCGCTGGCCCTGCGAGAGCGGCGGTGGTCGGCGGCGCGCCTGTGGTGGTTCCCTTGTTCAAGCCGGCTGCGGCTGCGTTGGCAGCCCTGGCCGCGGCCCGCGGCCGTGGCCGCGTCTGTCGGCCACGCGCAGAGGGGGGTATAGGGGGAGGGGGGAAGGCTTCCTAGAAGCACCCCTGCTTCTTAGAAGGCGCGGGCCTTATGTATTAAGGCCGCCGCCTTCTAAGAAGCAGCCTCCTTCTGAGAAGCCTTCCCCCCTCCCTCCACCCCCTTTTGCGCGCCGCCAAGTCTGGGCGGGGGGCACTGGCACTGCGATCTCCTGTTGATGGCTCTCTTCCTGCAGCTGCGGCTGCGGCTGCGGCTGCGGTCTCGGGGGGGGGGGGGGGAAGTGCGAAGGGGCGGGCATTCCATAAGGCCCGGTAGCCCCCCGGCCTTCCGAGAGGTGCTCCGGGGGCCCGCCCCGAAGACGCGGCGTACGTCTCGAGAGGCGCGAGAGGGCCTCTGAGGAGCCTCAGCCGCCCGCCGAGCAGGCCCACTCCTGCTCCCTGCCCCCCTCGCTCGCCGCCGAGGGGAGGAGGAGTGGGGAGGCACCCTGCTCGAGCGCCGCGCAGGTGCACGAGGTAGGCGGCTTGCGGGCGAGCGGCATCGAGGAGGATAGACCTGTTGCGCGCCTCGGGGACGTGCGAGGAGTGGAGAGGCTCCCTGTGGCTCCGCCATGCTTCCTGGACCCGGACAGT